CTTCATCGACAATTCTACCAAAATAATATGATATGGCAAAAAGGCCTGGCCTTCCTTGAAAATTCACATTTGCACTGTTCGACTCCCGCTGAGGGTGCTGATAAGACCGATACGAGGTCGAAACTGCAGTCCATCCTGGATAAGAATAACTTTTGGGAAAGCAAGGCTATGTGAAATTCAATGGAAACGTCAGCTAAACTCATATCATTGTGGGAAAATTCTTCTTCTACCAGTCCTTCATCACCTTAAACGAAATTGGGTGGATACATCTCATATTAATATAGCAGAGTTTTTCAGATAAGTTGCGTCAAATTAGGTCGACCTGAAAACACGACGAAGTTGCGAAAACGAGTTCAGACAATTTCTAAACATCGAAACAAGACTAAGACCGAAACAGAAGCCATAATGTCTTGGTCTTCATATCTATCGTTTAATTAAGTTCAATTTGAGTAATTTCGTGCAAATGCCTAAACATAACTTGCTACAATTATAAAGTTAAATTTTGAATTCGAGTCTTTAAGACAATTTATATGTAATTGCACCTTAGAGAATGTTATATACAGAGCCTAAACAATTGATAGAGACTTTCGGTAAATACTCTCAATTCATATATTATGTGACTTGAGCAGTATGTGGAATAAGCCTACGAAAACATGGAATATTTCCTAATATAACCTATTCAAAATATCTCTCTATGATGCAAAATCTAATTAAATTTTATCTCTTCAGAGAAGTAGTCATAAGCCTAAGATTATTTGCTTATTGTAATAGGAGTTTCACCCCAGATGTACACTGCGACCTTTTACAAAACAAAAAGCTGTAATTACTAGGTTATTACTAGGCAATATTGAAAGAATCAGGTACCTATACTCGTGGTTGTTCATCAAGCATCATTTCGAATTTAATCTGCTTATTATTGCTATATAATGTGGCGCCTTTTACAAAACTTTATCTCATTTGAACTTTCATTCTAACCGAAATCAAATTTTGCAGCCAATTAATTGGTATATAATGTCAATAAGGTAAATTATTCCTTACGTCTAAATTTCTTTCATTTTTAGGCTCAAAATATGTCCTAATGGATGACCCCGCACAAAATATTGACTAAATATGTCAATACATATTCAATAGCTCGTAGATTTAACCATTTTACGGCTAATTATTTAAGTCATCTTGAAAATAAGAAAAGCTCTTATTAATTTATAAGTCGAACAAATTTCTTGCAGATTATTTTGAATAATGAGGCAAAATTCGTATATTTGTTAATTGTTCGTGCCATCATAGGCCTTACTTCTATTAGGATCTTTCTCATTTATTGAAAAATAAATCTTAAAACCTACGAAATTATTGTATGTAAATTGCAATTTCGAGTGGATAATACTTCATTTTCTAGGTGCATTTTATTATTATGGTATTATTTGAACCCACCTCCGGAATCGCTTAGTATATAATTCCTCTTGAATGATATCTCATGGATCTTGCGCCGTCTATCTTAGTTACTTGCTTTTGCTGATCCTTAAGTTACATTGATCATCATTTTCGATTATACACATAATTTTTCTACACTTGGTAAATTTACGTTTGTTTTTATTTATTCTAGATTGTTCCTGGAGTTACTAACTATGTTAAGGAAAAGCTTGGTCGTAAATTTGTTGAACCTCCTCCTTTCGATCTTGCTCGATCTTACCAGGATTCCAGTTCCTCGGCACCGCTGATATTTATTTTGTCACCTGGAGCAGATCCAACCATGGCATTGCTAAAGTTTGCTACAGACAAAGGTTTTGGAGGTTCTCGCTTTCATTCTATTAGCTTGGGTCAAGGGCAAGGACCAGTCGCAGCCAAAATGATAGCTCAAGCTAAGCAGGAAGGCAGTTGGGTTCTTCTTCAAAATTGTCATCTTGCTGTTAGTTGGATGATTCAGCTGGAAAAGATTTGTGAGAACTTGACGAATGAAAATACAAATGCAATGTTTCGTTTATGGTTAACCAGCTATCCTTCGCCTAAGGTATGAATAATGAGCATCTATAAAACGAGTTTATACTCGATAATACTTGGATATCCAAATAAGGTGGCATAGTAAATCATAGCTCACAGCATAAATTAACATTTTAAAAATAATAGTTTAAGCTTAAAGATCTGATTGTGACTGTTGGTAATATACTTAATTTCGACTTTTAATGTCTAGTTATAGCGGCCTATGGAAAATTGCTGAAGATTAAAATCGAACTTCTGTCAAATTTCTGAATAAATTAGAATCGTTGATTAATATAAAACGCTATTAAACTAAGCTTGAGCTTTGGGTTTCTCTAGTTGGTATCAATAGAATTTTTTTATATCTCTGATTTGTTTAGGTCAGCTGAAAAATGATGAACCGTATTCATAATAGAAGTTGTTTGACCTTGTTTTTGCAACTGGGTCATATCGGTAGAAAGACTTAGAGGACCGCAACTAGTCCAGAGTCCATTGTAAGCATGATAATTTCAAAAGTCGGACCGTGGACGTGGTACAATCCCAGGCGTTTCGCCGGCATCGTAAGTTAGTCTTGCCATTCTTAGCACCATACTACAATTCGTCAAAGAGACAAGCGAAGCCGATCCTTTGCCCAATTATGTGCTAAACAGTTATGGTATATCTCCTACTGTCCTAGGCTATTTACCTTTCCTATATTCTCGTTTCCCGCCTTCACTATCACAATTTTTCCTTGCTTATTTAAATGTAGTGGGGTATGCCCTTTTGAGCGGCTTTCATGAGAACCCTCCAAACTCCACACTGGCGTCCTCACCCTCTTTCACCCTTGTACTGGGAACGTTGATCATATTCTGCAGTATTGTTACGGAGTCCTCCTTCCCTAAGTCATATTAGAGTCTCCCTCTTGTCCCGAGACTGTGATAAGACCTAGGGAAGGAGGACTGCGTAACAACATGGCAGATTCTGATCAACATTCCTAGAACAGGGGTGAATGGGGGTGAGAATTCCTGTGTGAAACGTGAAGGGTTCTCATATAAGCAGCTCAAAAGGGCACACCACACTACATTTAAATGAACACGGAAAAAAATTGTGACATTAAAGGCCTGATACGAGGATATAGGAAAGGTAACTAGCCTAGGACAGTAGGAGAGATACCACGACTGCTTGGTACACATTTGGTCAAAGGATCGATTTCACATGTCTCTTTGACGAGCTGTAGTGTGGCGCTAGGGATAATAAGACTCACTGACGATGCCGAATACAATGCCGGCGAAACGTCTGGGCATGTACCACGTCCACGGTCCTACTTTGGACTTTATCGTGCATACAATGAACTCCGGATTAGGTGCGTTCGTCTAAGTTTTCCTACCAATCAGACAAAGTTGCGAAAACAAGGTCAAACAACGTATATACAACGAAATGTGACTGCGACGACACAACAGGCCACACTATCTTGATCTTCATATCTTCGTATTTATTATATTTTACATCATAATACAAAGACTGAGTATTTACAGATTTCATGTGAATGCACAGAGTTGATGTCAGTCTTGGCAAGATCGCTTTATTTTTCATTAGATACTGCTGGGCTCTCTCTTAATATTATGCTAGGAATAAGAGCTGGGTTTCGAAAACTCCCTAACTAAAATAATGCGGATAAATGTTTCATTTCGTTTGAAAAAGTGGGCGAAAAGGGTTCGTAAGTTTGCCTCCCTGGACACCGAAGGGGGATTGGTCTGCACCTGTAATTACTAGACTTTGCATAAAAGGCTGAAGAATCACTTTTAAGCTTTCTTCAATCATTTTGCAGAAATTGTCAGAGCGAGAAACTACCATTTAGTAAAATTCACAAAAAAACGTTTGACGGAGTAAGGTTGCCGGTTGAAATACTTACTTCGTCTATCAACGTTTGCGATCTTAATCAAGCATCTCATCATTAGGCTGACTATTTCATGCCTGTCCTACACGCGTGAAAACGAGTGAAGTTGATACGTGGAAGGGAGGAGGATGTGGTCACACCCTTTTCCTAACGTTAATAAATTAGCATATGATCTTTAATTGTATATGCTTATTTTAGATCCCTAGAGGCATGTGTGTTTTGTGTATGCAGTACTCATGGGTCAAAATCTGATTCATAACTAGCCAGGCCTTCTCTTCTTGGCGCCTCTTCCTGACCTCTCGCTTTCCCTACCTAATTCTATCCTATATCTTAAGCTAGTTCTTGTTTAATTGCATAGCCTCTTTCCTCCTATACTTTTTGTTTTGCTAAATTCATTCGGCTTCTCAATCTTCCGTTTAACTATAAATCTCTATTTCCTGCAAAACCTTGGGTTTTAAACCACCCTATCTAATGTCCTGTATTATCATATGCTTAGCCACCTCCGATTTCCGAATGTATTGACACCTGCAGGATGGTTTTATATTTTGATAACCTCTTAGGTATGGGTCGATAAGTCTTCCCCACATAGACATTATAAGGGAACAGAACCTTATAGCAGTCTGAACTGCCGAGGGGTCTGAGGATTCTCCATGAGAGAGCATGGCCGGAGAAAGTGTTAGTATTACTTTAGACACTGTCCTGACGTCCCATTTCCTTAGTAATTCTTAATATCCTTTTTGAAAACTAACAAGAGGGTATCATCCAGTACCTGACTAAACAGTTATCCAATCCCCTGTTTTTGCCTAAATAGGTATTTTCTCTTATACTGCTTTTTAATATTTTGAAATGTTTTCACAATCTATCCCGATTGATAATTGTTTAGACCTGAAATTTTTCTTATCCTTTCTAGGTCTTAATCCTGTTTATTTATGGCTGCTAGACGCGAACTCCTTACTATAAATGTTTTCTTAAAACCTACTATAATGCCTTGAGTATGATTAAAGTAGGAATTAAGAAATAAATCCGTATTTGTGGGTTTCTTATAAAAAATCTTTACTCAATTTGTTCCACACTTTACGAACCAGGATATCTTAAAAGGATAACTTGCCGTCCTTTCCCAACTATATCGTGAATTCAGTCGTCCTAACTAATATATCCATTAACTCAAGTAAATCTTCCGGATGCATAAATAAAGAGTTTATATGCATGAAAGGTTTATAGGG